ACAATACAAAGTGGGAAAAGACAGTGGAAGCGTATACAGGACAACTCATAAAAACAAAACCATTACCAAAAAACTAATTAAAATACATCATGAAAGCATCACATGATTACAAGAGGGATTTCAACAGCAAGTAACAATGCAAAGCTACTTTAGTGGAATAGCTGATTAAAAATAGAGCTGGAAAATAATTCAGTATCATTTTCAAATGGTTGCTAAACAACTGATGAAGAAAAGTTACCTCCAATTTTCATTATGACTCATATTTAAATCAGTCAAACGTTTATTGACGTGACATGCACTGGCATCTTTCTATTTATAAAGCTCTCACAGAAAAGCGACCCTCATACCTGACAGAACTCGTACATCTCTCGACTGGGCGCTACCAGACACGTTCCTCCAGACGTTTACTGTTCAATGTTCCTCGAGTCAGATCGGAACTGGATCAGAAAATCAGCTTTTTCTTATTCTGCACCGGACTCTTGGAATAACATACAGCTTAAGGGGAAATGAACTTTTACCTTTTGGGCATTTTAGAAACCTGATTTTAAGCCTCCCAACCCTCTGTTTGTAACTGTTTTACATCAGTGTGTTTATTTATTGCAGTTTTGTACTCGCTTAATTATCTCAGTACATTTTAGCCTTTTGTAGACTGATTTTAGCAGTCTTGTATTATCTGTCCCCTGTTTTTCTTTTTGATTTAATGTCTGTTTTCTAATTATTTCTGTAATGACTCGATGTCATTGTAAATGAGGGTTGACCCTCAATGATCTTTTGAGTATAAATAAAGGTTGAATTATTAAAACAAGTCCAGCTAGAAACATTACATTCACATGAGTTTAAAGACTGTATTGATGTCCCTGCATGTATGAATGTTTCACCCGACTCTTCTCAAAGCTGCACAGTGCTCTGTACTTCCATTAAACAGATACTGAACTTGAAGAGAGATGGAGAGTCTTTTTTCACTAACAGTGAAATTCTTGCAACAGCCGGCTCTTCCGCTGTGAGAGGAGATAGGAAGCCTGGCGCCTGGGGGCCACGGCTCTCCATTTCTGCAGTCTGATGCTAGCCTCCGGTCTGTGCCGCCTCTCAACAGGGTTAAACTCCCATCCTCGCTTCTTGTGCCGTGTCTTCTTCTTCTTCTTCTTCTTCTTCTAGGTCAGTTTGTCCTCTATTTTCTGCATCCAGTCGATCCTCTGACCTGGGTCCTTTTTCTCCTCGTCTGCTGCCTCACCTGATTGTCTGACCTTCCTTTTTATCTATATCTGACCTCCTTCTTCCTCGCCATCACGGCAGCATGACCTACTTTTTATATAACCTTTGGTCCTTATGGGCAGCCGTAGCTCAGTTCCAGCTCTCAAGTCAGTGGGCGTTATTTAGGTCAGCCTGTCTTTGGCCACTAATGAGCTACCGAACATAAATTACCCTGAAAATATATGAATTTTCTCATTTGGCTCCAGGAAAAATATGTACCAAATTCAATGAAATAAAAAATGCATTAGGTTAATTTCCACCTTGAATATAAATATATATGTATATTCTAGCTATTTCATTAGATAAGCTGAGGTATAACTCTTTAACGTTTTGTGCATGAAGACCACTACAGAGGCCGTAGTAGTCCTCAAAGCGGGCAGCCCACATTGGAATCTGACTTGTTGGCTCGTTTGCTGCACATCAATCCCAACTCTTTGGCTCCCTGATTTCTGACTCTATCCACTGTCCACCTGTCACTTGAATAAAAGGCATAAGAGGCCCTCCTACTCCAACCCTTTACCCAGATCACATCCCCTATTGTTCTGGTTTGTTTGTTTTGTGTTTTAAGGGGTTAGGTTTTTCTTCTTTTAGTATTTGAGTGTTTCTATTGCTCTCACCTCTTTTTATTGCTGTTATCTGTTTTCATCTGCTTTTAGCTCTTTTACTTCCAAACATCATCTTAAATATTTGGTTTTCTTGGTCCCAGTTCGTGTTGCCTGGGTCCTTATGATGGTTCTTATGATGGTTCCTTTGATGAGTCTTGTGATGGTTGGGTTAAATATGTTTTCAGGTATTCTGCTGGATGCTTTCTTTTGCTGTTGGGTTGTTTTTTTGTTGTTCTCATATTTTTGCGTTGTCTATAGCTTTGCTGTTTTTTATGTTCTTCTGTGTTTGCTCGTACGTGTTTGGGTTCTTTTGCTTTGTTCTTTTTTTTTTAAATGCTTTTTCTTGTATGTCAAAGCACTTTTCTTCCGTTCATTTTCTTATGATTTTTCTCTGTTTTTGTGTGTGTTGATTTTAGGTCTGTGCCGTTTTATTGATTTTATTGAACTTTAATAAATCTCAGACTTCTACATAAAGACTTTTCAATGGGCTTGGATTCTGAGGTGATTTATTCCCCCGGGAGATATTGAAAATAATGTAAGAAAACTACAATAAATACATATATATATATAAAATATTGTAAAGAGTTACATTTTGTCAGATTTAAATGGACCGAGTGGGAAAGTCTTCTTGGTATCAACCTTGAGTTGGAAAGTCCTCAAAGTAAACTCAGTGGGAGTCAAACCTCTGCACCTCTAATCGACTTCACTGACCATGAGTGGGGAGAGGTTTGACACTTTAGTGATGGATTAGATCACACACGGCAGAGTACTGTATGTGGGAACGTGTGCACATGATACACACACACACACACACACACACACACACACACACACACACACACACACACACACACACACACACACACACACACACACACACACACACACACACACACACACACACACACACACACACACACACACACTGTCCTTGTGGCAAACCTAAGCAAGCAATTACAGAGTGCAGCCTGCCAATAAGATATCAGAGGTGTGCTGCCAAGGCTAATTTGCTTTAGCTGTCAAACTCACTATTGTGTTCTGTTGTAAAGCTCAGAAGTGAGTTAAGCCTCCATTGCAAATAACCCTCTCGTACTCGAGCATCAGAAAACACCTTCAATTGGAGTGAGCAGTCTCATTAGTGAACACATTTTCTTATGAAACTAGCAATCTTTTTTTTTAAACTTGCATACCATCAATGAACGAGCAAGGTTACACACACAAACAGTGATTCTTTTTACACACACACACACACACACTGAGCCGGTCTTTCTCCGTTTGAGTCTAAGTCATCTCTGTAGAAGTTTGTAACTTTACTTTCTATTGAACAAATGTCATCGCTGCAGCGGAGACGTAAAAAAAAAAAAAAAAACAACTCCAATGTCAGAGCCGAACATACGAGCATATAGCTGCAAAATGATGCAGTAAACGGGGGGAACAAACCAAATGCACAGCTCTCCACACTGAAAAGTATATGTGGTCCAAATAACATCTGGATAAAACAACAACTGCCTTAATTGTCGCATTACTCCTTCAACCTGTTACGCCATACTCATTTACATTAGTGAGTGTTTCTCAGAATGAAAGTGTATTCATGGCCGGCACAGGGGATTTATGAAAGTATTTGAATAAGTATGCTGACATTAACAAAGGGGAGGTCACACCACAATCACTAACAGGAAGTACATATAACAGATCAACATGTCTGTCTGTGATTGTCGGTGAACAGTGGGGGGGATGTCCGCTAATCAATCTTGGATTACATTGTACCTTAAGGCTGAAAACGAACTATGAACAATCCAGATGTGGAGTGGCAGTTCGTCCCAGCAGTCAGCGTTGGCGTCCTGTGCAGAGGCTAAAGTCCTCGTGGTTTGAGTCTGACCACGGACAATTACAGCGTGTCATCCCTCAGTCTCTTCTCTCAACATTTGCCCTCTCTCTCTGCACTGTCCTAACCTCTTAAAGGCACAAAAATATCTTTAAAAGAAAAACAAGAAATAGCAGACAGACATGAAAAAAATTCATTCCAAGCAATGCTGAGATTATTGCCTTCTTCAGAATAGGACATGATGTCACAGTGACCTTGACATTTGAGATTCACGGGGAAATTAAGTCTGTTCCAGATTTTAGATGATTGGTCCTTGTGTTTCAGAGATATTGCATTCACAGGAATGTGATGGGAATAATAGTTGGTGTTCTTCTAGGACATGCTGCGTATGCTCCGTTGCAGCACAGTTTACATGGGATCTTTTTGCCAATCAAATGTATTTTTAATTTCAAATGTATTTCTCTTTTAATTCAAAATAATTGGACACATTCTTGAGTGACAGCCATAAAAAAATGAGTCTGAGAATTCACATCGCCCTTGATCTTTGACCACCAAAATAATCGCTTCATTGTTGAGTCTAGGAGGACGTACGTGTGAAGTTTGAAGATTTTCCAACCTGACTTGATAAATGGCTTTTACCAGAAAGAGACGAACAGATAACCCCCCAAAAAAACATCCTGCCTCCGACCACAGCTGTGGCCAAGCAAGAAATCATTAAATTCAAAAGAAAAAAATGAACCAATAAGAGGGTTGAACGGTAGTAAATAAAGAAGTACCATGTTCAAACCTTTCGACCTTGTCAACCCTGTGTATCAAAACAACACTTCCCATGAGGCAGTGGGGTTATGGCCTCAAAAATACATGCAGATTTGGGGACTTCAGTTTTCCCTGAGCCTCTCTCGGCTGTTAAACTATTAGATTAGGCTCGAAAACAGAAATTAACTACGCTACCTTGAACATGACATTCAAGGCATCATGTGCTACACAGGCAATAAGAAAATGTGAAAGCTGCAGGGGGTGAACATAATGATGATGTGGGAGGAGGCGGCATTCACAACGCACACCCGCACACACACGTTTTTAAAACGCTGGACGTTTGATAAAACTCCCAGCATCTCCGATCATATTATACATTATAATGCATCATGGCTCATTACCTCTGAAGGGAACAGAAGACACAGTCTGGCCTGTTCTGCAGCATCCTTTGCAAATTACATCTGGCCAACTAGTGCCTCGCTTTGCATTTTAATTGGCTTTAACTCTGCTACCGACAAACAAACAAACAAACGGTCAAACACACACGGAGCGAGCAGACTTACAGGGTGAGGTGGTTGAAGCCGACGGTCCTCAAGGTGAAAGCTCGGGCCAGGAGGCGCACATGTGTGAACAGAACTCCAATGGAGTCCTCAAAGCTGGTCAGTTTCTGGAGGACGGGAGACGTCTCGATCAGCTGCCTGTCCGTCTGAGGCTCCTGGACCTGAGCGAGGACAAAAGATGAGTTGGTGAGGAAAAAAAGAAAGTGGACCTGCACAGGTCACAAAGGGCTGCAAAGGAAACACTATTCCAATTTAAACATGGGAATAAAAGCATCGACAAAACACCTTCCAGAGACAAACTGTTGAACTGCCCTTAAGTGATTAAAAACAAGACCTCTGACTACTCAGAGTGCTTTTACACTGCAGGTCACACCTACACATTCACACACTGAAGGTAGAGGCTGCTGAGTAAAGTGACCACCAGAAGTAACTAATCCCATTCATACACATTCATACACCCCCAAAGCAGGGGGAGCAATTCAGGGTATCTTGCCCAAGGACACATCGGACATGTAGCTGCAGGAGCTGGGGATCGAAACCAGCACAACAACAACTTTCTGGTTGAGAGATGCCCGACTCCACCAGAATCAGAATCAGAATCGGTGTACATTTACACAGTACAAATAATACAGTATAAGAAAATAGAATTTCAAAATGTAAAATATAAAATATAAAAAATAAAGATAAAAAACATAAAATGTACAAAAGGTGCAATATGTAGGAGCTGTGTAGTGGACAAAGAAAAAAAAGAAACTGAGCCACAAGAGAGAAAGAAATCTGATCAAATTAGAACACTGATCACATTTACTCCTATAGGTCTATATGGTATAGAGCAATTTCATTATTATTAGTTGATTCATGGATTTTTAACTAAAGATCTAAGAGAATTAAACCAAACCAAAAGTAAGATAAGAAGTAGAGATCTTAAAATAGCAAATCTTAAAATGCTCAGATGGACACAAACCAGCGTGACCACTTTAAAGATCCTCGACAGAGACACAAAAAGCCTCCTGCTTACTCTCAGTGAAGTCGTTCTGCATAAGAGCCTCGCGTAAAAATGCCTCAAATGAAGTGAGCTTCTACAGCATGCACTGCTCGAGGGCCTGTTTAGAGTGTGTGTGCTTTTTCCTCCGCCTCAAAACAAACTCCGATGATCTCGCAGCAGATGGAATCTCTTCTGTCATTAAAGTTTGAAGTCAAACAGCTTTGCTTTTTTTTTTTTCTTACTTCTCGTTCTAGATCCGGCGTTTCAAGCGGTCAATTAATATCTCTTGAGCTTCAGTGGCAGTGTAAGTGTAGAGCTAGCGCATATCAGACACTCTGAGCCGTGTGACTTTGATGAGTTTTGAAAGAATAGTTATTAGTTTTTAGAAAATCGCTGCAGATTAGACTTTTAAAAGAAGCTGTCAGAGTCTAATGTGGACGGGTTGAGGAGACATGCTGCTGAATATGAGTGCAGATATTTCTTATGAATTAAAAAAATACACCCATCCATCCATTCTCTATACTACTTTTCCCGATTTGGGTCGCGGGGAGGATGGAGCCAATCCCAGCTGTCATTGGGCGAGAGGCTGGGTACAACCTGGTTTTGTCGCCTGTCAATCACAGGGCTGACATATAGAGACAGACAACCAGCCACACTCACAGTCACACCTACGGGTAATTTAGAGACACCACTTAAGCTAACGAGCATGTCTCTGGACTGTGGGAGGAAGCCGGAGTACCCAGAGCATGCACGTGGAGAACATGCAGATTCCACAGAGAGAGGCTCCTGTCCAACAGGGATTCTAACCTCCTAGCTGTGAGGCAACAGCACTAACCACTGCACCACCGTGCAGCCCTGGAAGAAACATGGTGTCCTTAAAATAAAAAATAAAGTTCATGCCTGTTTGTTAAATGAAGAGATCTCCTTAAAGATGCATTCATTAGACTCTAGGAAACATCTAATTGGTCTCTGTGTGGTATGACTGAGAGCTTAACCAAGACATCTCCGCAGTAGGAATAGAAACATGGAGGGAAACGTTTTGATGTGGACATTCAAAGAGAACTATTGTGTTAGCTTGAACCAAAGAAAGCTACATTCTAATCTCTCCACTCTCTTTTTGTTTCTCATGAAGAAATGACCAGTGAACACGTTCTTCTTCCACGTCAAGCCAGTGCGTGGAGCAGAGATTTATTTTTAAACTCTGTGTTTTAATTGCAGTGCCGCCAGTAATGTCATGGCTCCATCTTCCAATATGTCCTAAGAAACATTTCATTTCGCCCCCCCCCCCCCCACACGTTAATTAAGGGGAGGCGTTTAAATGTCATGCATCACAACTAATGGCATCTGAAGAGTTCAGCCCTCTTATAGGCAGTCGCTGTCCTTCAGGGGTGGAATGGCCAGCAGCAAGGCTTCAAACGAAGTGGAGAAAAAAAAATCAACAGCATTTATGAAAAAAACAAACACTTTTTGAAATGGCTTCAAAGCATCACTTTCAGCTCAGTCCAGACAGAACTCAGAATCAGAGCCGAGGTGTTCTGAGACCTGGGGAAAAAAAGGAGAGATTTTGAAACGCAGACTAAATGACGTTCTGGTAAATTATTGTGGAGAGCTGAGGGTGATGATGCGCTGGTGCGGATCAGTCGAACACGAAAAGACATGAATGTGGTGCCTGTCGACGACGGAGCATTCTCCCGCGCTCTGTGGGGCGCGTCGTGGCCACGGCTAATGTATGCGTGTATGCCAAAGACGGCAACACGCATAATTACCCACATCCTGGCGAGCTGCCACTGCCATCCTCTCAAGTCTCATTAAGGCAGCTCCTTTTTACCTGCGTTTGTCAAACCAGACTTGGTCAAGCAGGAAGAAAAGGTGGGGGGGGGGGGGGGGGGGGGGGTCTTTGAGTGGCCACTTAAGGTTGGCTCCAAAAGCGTCATGGTAAAGTCCTATCATGTAGCAAAAGTGACCGAGTTTAGGTCTCCCTCCCCCCGACTACGCTCTGCCAATGAAAGGCGTCTGATCCAACCTTCACAACAGGGTCCTAAGTCTCTGATTAGACTCTTCTCCTCTGTCGCCCCCCGGTGGTGGAATGAACTTCCAAACTCCATGTGATCTGCAGAGTCCCTCTGCACCTTTAAGAAAAAGCTAAAGACCCAGCTCTTTCATGAATACCTACTAACTTAATGATGATGGTCTCCATATTATTGATGATGATGATGGTAATGACGATGGTTTTTGTTTGATAATGACGACTTATAAGATGGTTTCTATACTGATTAGAGCTCTCAAGAACTGCCCTCAATGTTGTGCTTTGCCTCTGGTCACTTCCTGTCAGCACCTGTGTGTCCAATCAGACTCAAAGCTGATCGTTTGCTCTTACTGACATTGTTCCCTTTTTTCTAGATCCTTGCTTGTGTTGTTCTTACTCTCTGATGTACGCCGCTTTGGATAAAAGCGTCTGCTAAGAGAATTGTAGAATTGTAGAATTGGTCTGTACAGCCTCTCTGTTCATGCATGGCTGCTGTTAAGCCTTTTTTTTACTTATATATTAAGGCTTAAAGTTGTGCATTTAGTGAAAGGTGGTCGCTGGTAACTGTCTGTTAGCTAAATCAGTCACTGAACTTGTTATCTCAGCGCTCTAAACTTGATATCTGCCTGGCTTACATTTTAGTTTTACTACCTGGTTGTAAAAAAGTGTGCGATCAAGGAATTTGAAGTGAGGGAAATTCTGGTATTATTACATTTTAGGCATGCAATGATGTATCAATTAAATATTGGTATGATATATTGCCCCACCGGCAAATAATCTGGGATGCATCAATGTCAGTAACCAGTGTTTATCTGTTGTGTCGCATCATTTTGGTGCTGTCAAGCTTAGTATACAGAACTGTTGAGTCAGATAAGAGGTTTTTCTTACTGGGGAGGAGAAGTTGGACGAACTGATTTATGTTCACAGTTATTTAGGACAGAAAATGTTGGCAGTGTGGGAGTCTTATACCGTCTCTGGGAAAGATCAGTTTCATGTAGAAAAAAAAAAACAAACGCTCTGTTCAGCTAATACCGCAAATAGAATCTCATTCTGGGAGAGACATGAGGGTAAAATTGCTAATTACACAACTAAGGTATCAGCCTTTAGCTTCAACTGTATTGTTTTGGTAATCTGGTGTATTCAAACCCCTCCCCCGTCTCAAGTGTCATCCTCATTCAAATATGGTAAAACCCAAGTCTTCAAAAACTACACTCACATTCACACCTAGGGGAAATTTAGAGTCACCAATTAACCAGACAGGCGTGTCTTTGGACTGTGGGAGGAAGCTGCAGTTCCCACACGTGTACAGGGAGAACATGCAAACTCCACACATATATACTCCTCTCCGACGGGGGATTCAAACCAGGAACCTCCTTGCTGTGAGGCAACAGCGCTAACCAATGCACCGCCCCAAAAAAGCAAAGTCACCGTGGTTACATCTGTTAAATCGGGGGTGACATCTACTGACCTCCATCATTTTTCAGTCCAAGTTTTAAACTCCTACTGGCCCTCATCAATGATAGAAATAAATAATCAAATAAATGAATGATAAAAGGGGAAATGTGTTTTTCATTGTGAGAGAGAGCTCGGATTAAATCATCAAAAGGTCAGGATGCCATGACGCCACCAAGAGGTTGGCACAATTTAACAGGCGTTACCCCGCTGGCAGGGGAGCACGCAGAGGAAAACCTCAGCCACGCGCAGTGTGTGGTAATGAGGCCGCAGCTCTGAAGCGGCTAATGACTACTCATGCAGCACTGTGTTGGAGGTCCACCCCTCCCAACCCCCCCCCCCCATTGCACCGCAGAGTGGTTGCAGGGTTGACCCCGGGGCTCAACCCTTATCCGCGGAGCCCGCCGCTGGGGCCTCTGCTGTGCAACCCACCGGGAAAAACAGACTGCTGGATACGACGGGTTTATTTTAAGCACTGACAAGGCTCAGCTTAATCATTCAGGCGTTGGGGATGGAAAAAATGCAGGGGTGAAGAGGTGAAGATGAGGCAAACAAACATACATACAACACATCAGCAGACAGAAAACACAAAGCTATTTTGGACCAAAACACTGGAATGTATAAGAGATGAACATGCAGCAACACACACACACACACGCTTAGAGATGAATAAACTGCTTAAAGACGAGTCATACACACAGAGGAACACTTTCCCCACACACAGGCACATCAGAGAGAAGGATGCCTGACGGTCCCTGGGGGCCCCTTGTGATTCGGGACTGTAATCCTGTTATGGCATCTTTGATCTCTTCTTCCAAATCCTAATTTCAAACAAACACTGTTGACATGTTCAATGTTTCTGGGCAGATCATGCAAAGCAAAAAAAAGGAACGGGAGAACAGAGAGACTGAGTGAGGAGGCAGAGAGGGTGAGTCAAGATGCATGATGATGGAGAGGAGGAGAAAAAAGAGAAGGAAAAAGGGCGAAGAGAGAAGAGAGAAGAGAGAGGGAGTCAATGAAAAAAAAAAAAAGGGATTAGGGTCTCGACCAAAATGGCGAGCAGCGACACACAGGAGCAGAACAATGGAGACTTGTGAAAGGCTACTGGAGGGCCTTGTGACAGCTTTAAAGAACTCAGTCAGCCTCAGGCGAAATAACAAACAGCTTTTCCACCTCTGTTAGCAAAACACACACACACACACACACACACACACACAAACACATAAAAAGCTGCTTTCAGGTTGGAAAACTTCAAAGATGGGAGAACGCTTTTGTGTCTTGGGGTTGAGGTGTGATCTAATGAGAGGCCCCTCGCCAAAACAAACATCAATAATACAAAATATCTTAACCCACCTGCAGGGGGTGTGGTGGGTAGTTGAGCCAGACCTCTCGTAAGTCCTGCAAAAACAGAAAAAGGGGGGAGAAGAAGAGGGGAGTTAGATAGATTTGTATAATAAATTAACAGTACTGCATGATTTTCTTGTGGAAAAAGTATTCAGTTTTTCACAGATGCCATGTGTACAATTAACATTTCAAATGCAATGCATTACGCTTCTGCTTCCGGACAAACAACTCCTGCAAAGAAATCATAGATTTTTCTGAGAATTCAAGCGTTTATTTTATTCCAATTTTATCCACCTTTTGCAATTTCTGAGAACTCAAAGTTTGACTTGTTATTCTGGTGAACATGAAAGTTTAACACCGACACAAAGCTCAAATTTCAAACTGTTAAAGTCGGAAATAAAAGGAGCATTAACACAAAAGAAAATCCTTGCATGTAAACTTTTAATAAAAATTGATACCGTGTTTTGAGTATTTATACAGTATCAAGAAAATAATATTGTGACACTTGGATGAGGTAAGATAGACCTAGCTGGTGAACAATGGAATGGGAAATGGCTGGAATGAAAACCAGGTGAAGCACTCTCTAACCCGCAGACAGAAACCATTTCTCAGCATTAAGAATAAACTACACTCTTTAGTGAAGCAATTATTTGATGATGATTCCTCAGCGGATTAAAAAGTGAGGAGGTGATGATGCACCACAGATGGCTCCATGTCAGGGACATTACATTGGTAAGGGCCAAGTGCTGTAAGGTGCCATAAGCAGCCCCAATGGGGGGGCGGCAGTGAAATAAAACGGCAAATGAGTCAGCATCTCATTTTGAGACCAAGAGGTCTGTATATCGACCACCCACTGGGGAGTGAGGTAAGGGAAGCGGGGGGGGGGGGGGGGTTGTGGATTGAGGTGGAAGGTGTGGAGGTGTTACGGTTGGAGAGGTTGGTGGGATTTGGCTTTGAGAGGTGTGCTGTCTCTGGAGACACACATTGACAGTGCAGGACTCTCTCTGCCTGTGGAGAGAAACATGTTGCAAGACCAACATGTTTCCTCAACCCCGCTCCGAGGTGACCATAAGATCCAATGGTACAGAGACTCAAAAACAAAAACAAAAAAAGGTATAGAGAAAGAGAGTGAGAGGCAGGAGAAGCTGTGGCTCAAGTTGTTGCCAAGGACAACGCCAGTCAGAAGCCGTTTTTGGGCCTGAGGTCTAATGTTGGGTGAGTCATAGCGGCGATAGAGATGTGGCGAGGGCCTCTAAAGTACAGTATCACTCAGGTGTTTAAAAGGTTCAAGGAGATAAACCCCTTGAAACGCCGGTGCTAGCCCGCAGGGGAGGGGGGGTTGTGGGTGGTTAGCGGCATCGAATGGGCGCCTCGTCTTCGCAAACCCACCCAGCTGGCAACCCCCATCGCCTTGAGCGGCCAATGAAAAATTCATGAAAGTGGTCAATACGTTTCCTTTTCAGGTTGCATGTCTCTGAGGCTGGGACTGCAGTTGGAAAGCACTAAGTACAGAGCAGGTATCAAGTCATCACGTCAGCCTGCCTTGTGAATACAACATGGTGTTCTTGGCCGTGCAGGATGGCATCGCTTAAAGGAAAGTCAATAGCACTTGCTAATGGATTGCTCGCACTTCGACATAGTGATTTTTGCAGGCAGTCAAATTGCTCTGAAAGACGCTCAAGAAAGGGGTTTTCATCCGACACACATGCAGAAAATGAGGCACGAGAAAACGAGCGAGAAACAGGAAAATAAAAACAAAGACCGAAGATGTGAAGTGCAAACAAGTTGCTTCGGTTTGCGATCTGAGGCTTATGATTAAAATCCGTCGACAGGGCGCACACGATCCGCCCACATGCTGTATATAGACCCCAACAGCTAATGTTTCAATTACAGCCATTGCAAAGACAAGGCAGACAATGATTAAGCCAGCATCGAGTGGGGGATTTAAGAATAACAACAGGTTTTTTTTTTTTCCTCCCTCCCTACTCTGTCTCTTTCTCGCTCCCAGCACGAGGAAGGTATAATTACTGGGGGCACAAATCATCATGTGCAGCAGCTGAATCACAGCCATTTGGAGGATGGAGCTCTTGAGCTACAAACAGTAATATAAAGGAGAGAGGGGGAAAAAAAAAAAAGGGATATGCAAACATGTTTATTCGAATGTCAACGGCCTAGTCGTAATGAGAGTTGAAATTAACTGCAAAATGAAAGGCGATGCGGTGAAACTGCCTGTGATCTACGCTTTAAGGTGGGCTTCAATCAGCGCTGTCAGAGCCCACGGGGGGGGGGGGGAACGCAGGCTCAGCCTTGCAAGTGATCAGGGCTCACAAGCCAACCGTGAATAGGCAACATCACTACCCACACACACGCGCTCTCTCTCTCTCTCTACCCCCACACACACCCCTTGGGAATGTTGGCCATCCATGATTGGGACATAATGGTGCTCTTCTCTGACAAGGTCCAGTGCTCCTTGACAAATTGGTCTCTAGCTACTGGCTGCCAATCAATCCATCAAACATAGTAGTGCAGCAGAGGAATCAATAAGAGATAGCGCCGCTGATCGATACCAACATAAAAGTAGCCGTAAGTCCAAAGCGAAAGGCTTTTTTGTCAGGAGGGAGTCAAGGTGATCTACCAAAGTCTATCACAGGATTTACTGTCGGAGAGAAGAGCACAACTTTCACAGATTCAGTGAGCGAGGGCAGAAAAAATGTGTATGTGAATGGAGAATGTCCTGTGATTGTGCACATGCATTCATTCTCCGAGCCAATACCACACCAAGGACAACCGTGTTGAAGGCGTGCGCCACTCTCATTCACACACTGGCAATGTTTGCTGCAATTGTCACAGGACACAGAGTACAAATTGCATGGATATAAAAAAAGGCAACAGGGAGAGAAACTGGGGTGTTGTGAAGTGCCAGAGTGAAAAGAGAAGTGGAGTGTATGTTCCTGGTTTACGTAACAGAAATCAAAAACACTTAAATCATTCTCAGAAATACTTATATCCAGTGAATTTCTTCTTTTTGAAACGAGGAGCAGACGTGTGCTTTAATCCTCCCTACAGGAAGTTGCTGCTGCTCCATGCCGGTGAGGTGGCCTTAGTATGGAGGGAGTAGTCAGCCAGCCTTTCACCCGTGTGAACATGTAAGCCTAGCACACCCTACTGGTGTACCAAGAGACCATAACAATATCAGAGTAAGTCATGTTTGTCCAATACAGTTAAAGCCCCATGCATCAGCATTTGTTTGCAAAAATAAATCAATTTAAAATACACATTAGCCGTGATAACCACATCAAATGACAGATGTGGCTTTTTACCAGAACTTCATAATCATGCATTTCTCTTGTCCAAAATAATCTGGTCATCTTTCTAAGATTATTTGAATGAAACCCTTCCTCCCAATAGCATTCAGCAGCCCCCCCTTTGTTTTTGGCTGGCTGTAATGTTGTGCTAACAGATAACTTTCTTCAGTGTATTGGTCCACTTTTTCTAGCTTGTAAAACATTTCTCAAGAAATCTCAGCATTTTATTTCGACCCCCTGGAACAAATCATTCATGCATTCATCTTCTCCCTACTCGATTTTTTTTTTTTTTTTTTACTTCAACTGCAGCAATACTCAGCAGCCAGATGCTTAACCCGGAAAAATGGTAAAACACACATTACTCAAATTTTAGCTTCACTGCGCTGGCTTCCAAGTTTAAATACAGAATTGATTTTAAGATACTGTTAATTACTTTAAGAGAAGTTGTAAATGGTTTTACCCGCTGTGTTTAGAGCTGAGCTTTTAACCCAGTACATCACAGAATATCCACTTAGATCATCGAGCCACAATCTCTTGGCGATTCCACGTAAAACACTCAAAACAGAAGGTGCTCATTTTCTGTTTCAGCTCTGAGACTTTGGACTAATTGATGTAAAGCACTTTATGACCTGGGTTTAGAAAGGTGCTATATAAATAATGTTTATAATTGTTATTATAATATTATTTAAAACAGACAATCTCTACTTGAGTTAGTTTAAAGCTGCTCACTGCCCCCACCAGACGGGTTGTAGGAAGGAGGGCAGATACTTTGCCATGTTTCCAAAGGCAACCACAACATCGCCATGGTGGCCATCTCGTTTGTCACAGCAACCTTTGTTACATTTGGTGTTTGAGTGCATATGCTTGTGCGCTGGTGTTAATAAAAGCCCAGCAGTTTAGCCCATGGGCGACTCGTGAGATCATCATTATGGTGATTGCTCCTCAAAAGGGGGCCCTTCCCTCAGGACAGTACAGTGGCATCAACATCTCTACTCAGCCATATTGCACTGCTGTTGAGTCCAGGTTGGGAGCAATGGAGCAGCTCCCCCCGAAGAAGATGTTTCCTGCCTCTCTGCTGATGCTTTAATAACCTCCACAGTAATGTCATTAGCAAATTAGCAGCTATTGTTTCCTGCGGGCTTTTGTGCGCAATGAAGCTAGACTCCATCCTCTGAAAGAGCCTTGTTGTTTGGGAACCAGTGCCAACCAAGGTGTGGTGCTGAGAGACAAAAAATGGTTGGAATTAAATGTTGCACTCCAACCATGAATGCCATACCAATTAGGGAATAACAGAGTGAAGAGCAGGAAAAAACAAAACGGGGCCACTCTTTTTCTGGTGAGGTCTTGGGGTGGAAATTACATGCATGCTTTGTCTTAGGTAGTCATTCTGAATTCTACCTCCGGAGTTGTGGAGCTTTTGTGTTAACTTGTCATGAGAGGACTGGAGCGAGACATCTGTGGGGGTAATGACATCCCGGGGTGTTCGATAGAGGGAAGAGAATGGAAAGTAGAGACTGAGAAAACAAGAGGGTGCAAAAAAAAGAGAGGCACCAGCCGGTATCCTGTTGTTCCAGAGAGAGAAAAGAGGGTATGGGACTGAGCACCCATGTGTGAATGCAGCACCATTCCCATAAATAGGAGCGGCAAAACCTTCCAGGGTGTGATACAGAAAAATGTAGGGTCGTTCAGTTTTGCACGGCATCCCATTAGTTTGGTAATATGCTGTGTGAAGACCCATTCTGACATGTTATGCTAGAAATACAAAAGGATTCAAGTGGTCTCCTCACTCTGTCCTTCGCTCTCTCTCTGGTCTGTATCAACTTACCACCCGGCTGGTGTTTGGCTTTCTGGTCTGAGTCCATCTGTCTCCTCTCAGCATTGTACAGCCATCAGGAGGATTCAGGGGGGGGTTGGTGCTATTTCAATCCTTGGTGTGTATCACCAATAACTTTCAAGCCAAGCTGCAAATCACTAAACTTTGGTTTGAAAGTTGGGAATCTTGGGCACTTGCTTGCTAACCAATCTTCTTCCTCAGGAACAATAGTTGTGAACCATGAAGTGTGTGATCCTTACTATAAAAGGAGATGAGATTATTGGATGGAATTAATGTTTTTTTGATGTTATCACTGCGGACACTGAACTAATTTGTTAATTTCTATGACTGCTAGCTGTCTATGATTTGTAGTATTTCCAATTCCTACCTCCAGACACCATATGTGGAGTTCCACAGGGTCCTAATTTGGGTCCCTTTCTGTTTATTATTTTTTTATTGCTTATCTCCCGTTGTTAATATTACCATTCTCTGAGATTCAGAGAGAGTTGTTCATCCCTTGTATTACTTGTATATTGATACATTTTATTTCTGTTTTTCTTTCAAAACTGCAAGGCAACCACTCATCTCCAGAGGTTTGAAAATTCTGACTTGAGACACTTCATATACATAGATAGAATATAGTATATATAATATACATCATGTGTCCCCTGTCTGACATCACTTTATCAGTTAGATTTTCGTTCTTAAGCACATATTTATTTTTAAAGGATTTAAACAAAATATGCCTCTGATAGCACGATCATTGACGTTTCTTTTTCATAAAGCATGATGAGAATAGACCATCTTGTCACTGTGTATTGAGGATCAATCTGGAGTTCACATCATAATAACCGTGCCTAACTTTCCACTCTCCTGTTGTTTCCATGAGTGATAAAAAAGGCAGAGCACTCCAGACCCTATCAACAGATCAACTATAATGGAAACGTACAACAACCGGTATCTGTTATACCATTGGGAATAATGTGCTGAATCATTTTTTGTACTTGAATAAATGTTTGTGTTCATTTGTTTCACATTTTTGGACAGCAGTATCAAATCACAAAGTTGATAACAAAGCGTCCCATCTTCTTGATGTACCAAAAGCTGCAGTTCCTCTCTCTTAAATAAAGTTGAAATTTGTTGTTATTTTAAATCTTCATCCGTTGAGTAGCTCCTAAAAGTGTTTTTTTATAAGGGAGTCTATCATCACACAAATAAAGACCTCATGTTCACAACAACTCAATAACTTGGTAACTGCTGCCGATGTTCAAGGCAGAAGATGACAGTAAAAAAGAACCTTTCAGCCCCCCACCTGGAAACAAATGCTACACAGTAAGCACCAAAACATAATGACAGCTAAAAAGACTCGTATCAGATTTTGAGGAGAATCAAGGCCAAATGTTGAGTTGATTTAAGAGTAAAAAAAACGACAATAAAAGGAAGGTTATTCAAGGAGTATTGGTTAATGTATAAAAAGAATTTCAGCTCCATTGAAGAGGTTACCACCCTTCACGTTTTTTTTGTGCAAGGGATGTTCACCAATTGATCTTTCTTCCCTAGTTGTTTTGTGGTGTAAGATTTTGGAATGACTCTGATCTGGACTCTTAAAGGCTACTGATACTAATCAAACATGTTTACTGGATCACCGTGTGTCCTGTAGTGTGTGGGAGTCACTGACTGAATCTCAGACAAAAACCCCTCAATCTTCAATTAGAACAAAGCCTGCTGCTACATAGTAGACACGCTGAAAGTCATTTAATTGATTCATAACATTCCTTGCCAAGATGAATGCAAATAATGATTCATTCATCTATTATTCATGCCCGCTGATCACACTCGCACTCGCAAACAATAGCAGGTGTCCTGCTTCAGACTGGCAAACTGCAATGTTCCACACCTCCAGTTCATTTTTCAGAATATACAAGCGATGGCTTCATCCAAGATCGTTATTTTTTTTATCTTTATTGTCTTATTGTTTCATCTTGCATGTCAGCCTACACACAATAAGCACAGTCAAAAGTATTGCAGGGTAATGCAAGCTTATGTGAGCTCTTGTGTTCTATTGCTGGCTGGGCCTCGATATCGATGCGAGGTTTGGGACTGTGCCAAAACATGCTGAATGTGGGTTTGAACAGATAAAAGAGCCCAGATTGGTGAAAGCATTACAGTCCTGTCTTCCACAGATGGAAACAGGAACATCTTGCCTAGAGTGTCTGCAGCTCAGCTCTATGACTGATGTGTAAATACACACACAAGTGTCAATTGAAAGAAAGGGAATGCAAATAGACACACACCGTACTTTAAACTACAGCCTGCAGAGAACGGGTAAACAAAGCAGAACATAATGTCAGTTACCTGGCCGTTGAAAAGCAGTCTACCAAAGAGCTGACGCGCCTCGTCCAAGCCTCCTTCCAAATACACAGCACCTAAAAAAAGAAAAAGAAAACAGCGAAGGTAGAGGACAAAATCAATACAGTACATTTCAGTCATAAAATGTGTATAAATTGTGTGTACGATTTGACAGATTGATGCATCATACTGTCGAGAAAATAAGTGGTAAATCTGTGCCCAGATTCCAACCATACAAATTTTAAACCAACTGTGAAAAAAGCATGATGAGCATTACTGGTGTAAAAAAAAAAAAATCTTGTAATTCTGAGGCAATTTCAGACTTCTCTCCTAATGGAAAACTTAAAATTAATTGAACTCGGCAATGAGTTATAATTGCTTTATTAAAAAGTAGGAGTGCATTTTTATTGCTTTTTTGGCAGTGAAATGACCTCGGGCTTCCTGTGCAGATCCACCTCCCCCTTAGTTAGAGCAGAAGACGAAGAGAAGGAGAGGATGGTATAGTTGCATCAGGACGCTGAAATGGAACTGGCCAAGGTCATATAAACATCAAACTTCAGTGTTTAGATGCTGAACCCGTTACTCATGTGTCAGTATGAATAGACAAACACGAGCATGCCCACCTACAGTATTTGAGTACGTCACGCTCCAACCTATTTATGTGCAATGTAAACAAAAGTACGAGTCCTCTTTGTCACTCGCCTACACACTCGGGCACAACCTATCTGTGCAGATGTCCACACGATGCAGAAAATAAGGCAGATCCAACTTGGATAAACACATTTATTTAACTCTCACATCGATCAGCTCACACAGAAAAATACATGTGACAAAGATAGAAATATTAGAGAGAAGATTGGCACCAAATTACAGAGAGCTGCTGTCACAGCAAGCACAAATACAAGTATCTTAAATGTCTTCCTCTAAGGGAAGAAATATGCAGCATCTACAGCTCATTCGACTCCTCTGCAGAAGTCAACTGTCCTTTGTGTGTTTTGTTGTTTGGCTCTTAAACTGTTTCATCTAAAATCAGTGGAACTATCATGGTGCCTTTAAGCTGCGTACAACTTCGAACCATCACACTTAGGGTGGCTCATTCAATTTAGAAAGCAATAACCACCTGGCAAATTGGGTATACAATCGTGCAGCGGTTTTTATTATGTGCATAAATGAGGCAGTGGAAATGGGGCGAGGTGCGGCTGCAGGTCTAAATGCGCAAACTGCTTTCATGGACGACATCAAAAACATATGAGGGATTCATCATCTGGGGGAGGGAAACTGCTTTCAGATGGCTAACAGGCCATTTACACACATACACACGCGCGCGCGCACGGCGGCGGCGATGCAGCCGACAAAACCCAAACCATAAAAAAAAACACAAACAAAGCACGGCGCACAAAAGACAAACACAAATGCACAGTCACTCAGTCACTTTGAAACAGAGTAGGAAATTACTAACAGCCATTACCCAAATGTTTCGGAAAATTTGATTAAGCCTGACAACTCTGTCTCACCCCAGCAGTCGCTCCAGCAGGAAGCGGGCTCTCATTCATTTGGAGGGGCCTATAGTGATATAAAAACCCAGTTAAGTGTTAAAATAATGAAAGCAGCATGTGAGTTCTGAAGGCACCAGTTGTTTTTGTCTTTTATCAGAGTCCGGATGATATTGGATTTTTCAAGAATGATACCAGTACCTCTTTTTTAGAAGTGGAAAATCGAATGAAAATGATTACAGTTATAGCAGATCACACACTGCATGTTTGAGCTGGAGTGAAAACAGAACCTTCAGTATGTTTCACAATTATACGACAACACAAAGGTGAGCAGAAGGGGGTTTTATTGAACAAATCACTCTATTATTATACATTGTAAACCTCTGTCTAACAGAGCTGTGATGTTTATATGTGCTGGAGAAAGTGCTGAGAGTATTGTGACACCATTTATAAACTACCACAAGCTTGTTTTCTGCTTTATATTCTGTAAAAAGAAAAGTTTTCATACTGTGCTTAAAACATACAGACAAATATGCATGCTCGTTATGTATGTATTTTCAAGTAGAGCATTACTGATACAACATGAAGGAGAGGCATTGGTGGATATTGGACGAGCTTAAATATATTTTACTGATAGAAGTAAAACATTTTTGGAACACCTAATACAAAAATCAACGCTCGAGGTGTTTTAGAATGTCAAACCACAATACCAGATTTTTAAACATAGATCTGATGCTAGTCAATATGAATCAATATAAATACTTGTTTCAATACAACGGCAACAAATAGAAGTCCAAGGCACCCAATACTGGGTCAATTCTTGCTTTTAATAGCAAACAATGCAGGAAATCTGGCCCTCTGGCAGTGAGAATTCAATTAATGTGGCCCTTGCTGTGACCAAAGTTGCCCATCCCTGTCCTAGACCATATCCATATAGATTCATCTTAAAAATCAACCCCAAAGACCAAACGAATGGAAATCTGTGATTATTCCTACTCTGAAAGCATCATCAGTATCAACATTCCCATTTTGTCAGGCTCTTCAAAAAAGCGATTTTCTCTCAGAGAGATCTCAATCTCAACCATCCAAAATCAGGACATAATAAACCCATAAATCGACTTTAAAAATCTCAACTCCAGTCCACAAACACAGGAGGCCACTAAACCCCTTAAAGATGTCTATCAGTGAGCCAGGCATGACAGCGGGAGCGTCTAACTGAGGCTGACCACAGGAGGCTCCTGGGAGAGGGAGCGGTTCTTCACAGGATGTTTTCCTCTATGCATCAGCCCTGAGATTTGTGGTTTTACCATAATGGAGAACTCAGTTCTTGGTTCAGCTACACAGCAGATGTTTCCTCCGGAGACCAGCTGTGGGAGGATGAGAGCCGCCTCCTAGGACCAAGTTCTGAACGTCTTTCAACTATCACTCAGAATGCATTCATGTGTTTGAACACTGAGGCTAAGTGGGTGTGGGCGGGGCCGGGAGGCAGTTTTTTTTTTTTTTTTTGCATATTTTGATGACACAGCAGATTTAGAAAGTTCCTCAAATGGAGGCCTCAAAGTCATAGAAACTCAAAAGTTTTTTGCTTCTTATTAGATTTTTCAAAACTTCTTCCAAAAGGTGGAAAGGAGAAAACGGGAGGCAAGTAGAGGGAGGAAGGGAGAAAAAGCAGGAGAGCCCCGGGAGATTTACACAGGTGTTAAGAATCTCAAAGCATCTTTGGTGTCAATCAAAGGCCCGGTGGATGAAGAAACCAAGAAATGTAGTTAATTCTTAACAAGAACGCTCCTGACGAGGCGGCTGTCCGTGCGGGGAAAAAAAAAAAAAGCGTGCCCCAAAGCGATCCAATCAATCGCACAACTTACTGCAATCATTAAACAGAGATCTGTGCTCCACATTTTACTCCGTCAGTCTACATCAGAAGTAGAAGCTAACATCCTGAATACAGACGGACCACTCAAACTAGTACAGGCTCGTCTTCACATCACACATTCACTCGATCACTCCGCAGACTTACAACTAAAACAGGTTTAAAGAAATAAAAAAGACATGTGGCTTCAACACTCATGGAGGCTAAGAGGAGTCTTATGTGGCGTTGAACTGAAATATATAAAGAACAAACTGTAGGAACTTCTTAAAGGCTTAATATGCGATTTTTTTGATCCAGCAGATGTCGCCCTTGAGCACCAGCATGAAACCTGCATTGTTGTGTTAGCATGCTAATGCTAGCGATCTTTATTCTGCTGGTATCTTCACACTGCATGTAAATTTACCTGAAATGAGCGTGATCTAGAAACACAGTTAAGCAGTGAGTACAGTATGTTATTCTTCTTTTCTTTAGTCCCTCAATTAAACAACTTTTATACACGAGGGGAGGAGTCAGCCGGCCGTCCTGGCGATGTAAACAAAGTGAAGATAGGACTCTGAAAACTCTGAAAGCATCACAGACAGTGGGACTCGGGTGTTACACCCATTGTAGACAGTCATGACTCACAGAGTTATTTTCAGAGGATAAACTTGATTTCTATTATATTTAAATCACATATAATGCTGAGGTTAATGAACCTGGGTGTTTTCTTAAACTTACCCATACCCTACCCCTTACAGGGAGCCAAAGCCTCATCGAGTTCCACCTTTATTTGATCCGTTACAAACTTGAAACAGGTCACAGAGAACACCGAGAACAAACTCGGACAAAGTTTCCACGCAGCACTTTGAGGAGAATATCAGTCACGGCTTGAGAAGGGCAGCTACTAATGAATCTCCACATCTGTCACAAGTCGGATTCAGACAGCCTCGCAGACCGTACAGTGTTATGTTTAGGAATAGAATTCCAATGTCTGTGGGCTTTCAGTGACCAATAAAAACCCAGAGTCAGGGGCATATGAAACACCAGCGGCTGACAGTCACATTAATAACCCAGAATGAATTATTCAAAAACGCTCAGGCTCTAATCCATCAAATAATATATTAAGCCGCTCCCTCTCAGCTCGATGGGGGCTGAAGCAGCAGACGGACACGGAAAGCAACACATTAAAAACGGCAACAAAAAAAAAAAGAATAATAAAAAAAGAATAATGCAACCAAAACAGGGGGGAAATAGTATTTTCGCCACAGCTGGGACAAAGGAAGGCAGAGAAACATCAAACATCTTAGTTTTTTAGAAATATGAGGCTTGAAGCGAGGAAGGGTGAGACAGAAAAAGAGGGCAAGCAAGAACTCCAGTACTGCTACCATCGCAGCAATTAACAAAGAGAGCAGCACTCACTCAATGAATACACCGGCTGCATTGTGTATGAATCTGATATTCAGCAAGTGAGAGATAATCCTTTCTCTCCGTTCTTTTAATAGGAAGAGCTTAGAGAGGGCCCTCACAAAGGTTCACCATCTGTATCCCCCCATGGCTGCTGGCAGCGTATAATCCACAGATCAACTGTACAAGGAAATTAGGGCCAAAAAAACAGAGTGGGGGCCTCTTTTCTTCTTCTTCTCTCATTCTTTTTTTTCAAACAGTTTGGGAAGGAAGGGGGCCGCGACGTGGCTTATCAGTGAAGTGGCAACAGGCGCGCGGAGTTTCTATGAATAAGCAGAGGAAGTGGTTTTTCTAAAGAGGTATAGTGGGCAAGAGCAAAAAGTACAGACAAAAAGAGAGAGAGGGAGAGAGAGAGAGAGAGAGAGACAGAGAAAAGGGGGAGGGTGGTGGTAGAGAATGGGAGGTGCGCAGGCCAAAAGAGCCCAAATGAGAATGGCCCACTCCGGCAGAAGTTAATGACAGGGGATCAGAAAAGCAAGATTTCCATTCAACACTTTGAATTATTCAGGGTTGCAGGGCACCCATTTGCATTGCAGATGCCTTTGCTCTCCATTCCTCCACTGCTCTCCCTTTTCCTCTCTCTCTCTCTCTCTCTGTCTGTCTCTCTCTCTCTCTCTCTGTCTCGAGCTAGAGAGCGGCCCTGCCTCAGGGTTAGCAGATAGACGACGCATTTCTCGGGCTCCATGGAGGAGGGAAAGCTTCGCCCATGCAAAGCAGGAGATTATCTGCCATTTCCAACAAAGCCCGGGTTCAACGGTCACCGCGGCAGGGAAACAAATAAAACAAAGGTCAGAAAACATGCATAGTAAGCCGTTAAAGCTATCTGCCGGGGCCCTCGGACAAAAAATATTATGAGCATGTCATATTCCATCAGAGCATTCAGAGAGAGAGAAAAAAAAAGGAGCCCATTTGAATTCTATGCATGTGCACAATGGAAGGGGAGAAAAAACAAGTTAAAAGTGGAAGGAAAAAAAGTGATGCTACCTTTAGAGAAGAAGTTAGTGACAGGTCTGCAGGTGTATATCTGTTGATGTGGTGCCTGCTGCTTTTGGGGAAAGTGGCGGTTTGACGTCCCTGTCAGGGCCTGCGTGATGATGAAATGACAGCGTTTGTATGCCCCCCCCCCTCCCCCCGTACCTTCCTGCGGCACGTGCGAGCGATCTGAGTTTGTCTTGTAAGGAAGAGAAAAACGCGCGCCGTTCAGCGAGAGAGTTGGAGGGCTGGAAGGGCGAGGGAGGGGGAAGAGGTGGAGATGACAGAGTGACAGGATGACTCATCATCTGCGCGGCGCATCTTTCACCTAATAACAACCAAACTCTAGATCACAGGGGGGGGGGGTGCAGGAACGCAAAGGGACATAAAGAGTAAGTCGTTGACGTGAGGGAGGGTGGAGGCAGAGCGACGGCTCAACGACAAGGTCTTAAAGGAGGCGTTTGAGCTATAAAAAAATTTAAAAAAGCGCTGAAATGAAGATGACAAAAGCCTCTGTGAGAGAACAGAGGCAAACATCAGACAGAATTCTCAATGCAACGACTTTGTACGTCTCCGATGTGTGTGTGTGTGTGTGTGTGTGTGTGTGTGTGTGTGTACTTAGGTTTGCCCCTCAGCGTCTGTGTCTACGGTAAAGAAGGAGGAGGGTGATATTTTTGAGTTAGCAATCTAAAAGCCATCACCACAGGGTGCTCTCTCTGACAGCAGTTTTCTCACAGGTCCTTTTATAACCAGCGTCCCTGTTTATTCATCACTTTTATTAAGTTGAAATTTGACAAAGAAGCAGAGGAGGGAGGAAGAGAGGGAGGGAGTGAGTGAGGGAGGGAGGGAGTGAGGGAGGGAGGGGGACAGAGAGGCATCTAAAAATCTGCCTTGCTCGAATATGTGCAGGAATGAAGCAGCGACAGCCACGGGACAGAAGAGATTACGACTCCGTCTCTGCCGATAATGAACCCGTAACAAGAACAGGGACCCCGAGGGCCAGCAGGGGGACATGGTGCCAGTCAGCACTTTCTCCCCCCCCCCCTCTCTGCTCACTGCTGTTTTGGTTTTGGGGGAGGGGGGAGACGGAAGCGCAAGAAGATCTCTATGAAGTCACCCACTTTCTGTATCTATCATCTGGGGAGCGCGGAGATGGCTGAACCGGTTCAATCAAGATGGCGATAAGATGTGGAAAGCTGCCGAGTCTGCAGCTCTCCAAGAGCGAGGCTTAGCTTTAGCGCTCGCCCGTGGGGTTGGATGGCGGAGAGAGAGAGAGAGAGAGAGAGGGAGAGAGAGGGAGAGAGAGGGAGACTATCTCCATCCAGAGAATTTGGTGTGTTTTGTGAGAGTGAGTGAGTTTCCAGCGCGGAGTCCTAATCACTGCACAAACTCGATCACAGAAGTGCTAGCGAGATGAATAGCCAGCCTGTGTGTGTGTGTGTGTGTGTGTGTGTGTGTGTGTGTGTGTGTGTGTGTGTGTGTGTGTGTGTGTGTGTGTGTGTGTGGTGTGGCTAAAGGAGTAAAGCAGGGCTCTGGGGATTGTCTGTCCAGCCAGAGGTCAAACCACATCTCCTGAGATCAATAAAACTGTGTAATGTTTCCACAGCCTAATGGGAGATCCACTGCGGCTATTTACACAGCTTATCACACACACAAAGCTGGAATAAACTATTAAAACATTCACTTTCTTTAAGAGATGAATTAAAGGGAGAATTCCAGTGTTTTATACCTGGATCATAAGGGTATAAAAAGTCTTGTGGAGCTGCAAAGAGATGTAACAGCTGCTATGGACGTGTGTATCAAAGAGGCTGGTTTTAGCACTGACAGCCTCAAATCGTTATTCTCATTGTCAGAACACATTATGGATCTTTAGTTTTGTTCAGGTGTGAACTCTTTTTCCGAGCAGAAGCCCGGTAATATCACTTTGTAAAAAGTGAGTTCCCAGACTCCACTGATGAAAAATCTCAAAGGTATTTGCTGTCGATAATTTCCAGTCTCGTTTTTTTTAAATGTATTATTAAAATATGACTCGTGTTTTAAGATTATTTTCCAACACACTATTCATGGAACACAGGGTAAAAAAAAGACAATAAATTGTAGTGCTTTTTTTTTTTGTAAATACATTCTGGTGATAATAGCGATGAATCGTCTTTTTCTCAATCCAACAATCATCTCACTCTACAACACACAAAAAAACAAAGTCTACATCTGAATTGATTATTTTAATAATGTAGTTCCAAACTCAGAAAATCAATCACAGCCTGCCATTGTCAACAAGCACTGTCAGTTCATGTACTTTGAGCAGCTGCATCATTTGCCTTAAAGTGTTACGCAGCCGTTGGTAAATACTTGATTCTGATTGGTCAGTTAGGCAAAGCAACTGTGTGATAACCCTCAACAGATCAGGTTTACTGTTACTAAGACAATCAGACGGTTGCTAGGGTCGCAGCTCTTTACCACAGACTCTGGAGGACTAAGTGTAATCATATCAATCCGCGGAAAGAAGTCCGGTTCATTTTAATGTCGGTCTGTTTGCGGTGGGAGAAAAGATGAAGGAGAGCATAACGATGAAGAAGAGAAGTTAAAAGACGTAAAAAAATACTAAATTAAAGATGGCATGTGAAGTAAACACTGAACGTTATACGAGATACAGAAGTGTTGGAAAGGTGGTGAAAGGACGAGGTAATATCAACACACTGCAACAGTGACGAGGCAGAAAGATTCATCCAGCTGCTGAGTCATGACGACGTATAAACCTCGTCTCACTCATGAGGTCTCACTCCGCCATCAGTGGGAATGTTCACTTTAACTTCAAGTAAGAGCCACTCGAAAGGCAAAGGCCATCCTGGAAGACCCTCAGCACCCCCCACGCATGCAGAGTTTAGACTTCTGCTGACAGGGCCGAGGTTCACTTATGTAAGGAGGTCGAAATCAAACAGATACCTGAGGTCGTTTGTTCCATCAGCTGTTGGGTTTTTAAATAAGCTGGAGGTAATGTTGCCTGGACACTTTTACTATGGACTGTTGGTCTTTTGTCCCTTATCTCACTCACGTCCATCATGGTGATATCATGGTAATTATGTTTTAAATGTATGAGTCAATTTTTATTTTTTTTGTATAGCGTCAACTCATAACAAGTGTTATCTCGAGACACTTTACAAAAAGCAGGTAAAAGACCTTACTTATTGATATATTACAAAGACCCGGCCTATCCATCATGTCTGTATTCATGTCATTGTGCTGTTTTTTTATGGATGTATTGACTGTATGAACCTCTGTTGCAAACCAAATTGCCCCTCGGGAACAATAAAGATTTTCCAAATCCAAACGTGAGTAACAACAGCTAGTTTAGCTCATTTTAAGAAGGCCACAGAGTTAGCCGTTACTAGCTCTAACAGTAGATTCCAATGGACTATTTCTTTAGCCAAAGTAAGAACACTAATGTAATGTTTAGTTCATGAATGGTGGACAGGTTGTAATTGCAGAATGAAAGAGGTTCCTTTGTGATAACAAGCTGCTATACATTATCCTGTACACATGTGAGGGGTCCTTCAGTGTTTATTTGAATACACCAACACATGTCAAAATATCCCTTTGAACACACTGATAAAAAAGACCTCCATTGCTGCTGCAGAGTACTGAACCTGCTCCTGCTTGTGTTGTGTTTGGAAGAGCGCGGGGATGCTATTTGTTTTCACTGTATGTAAATCTATTCCTAAAAGGATAGATTTACATATTTCATATTTTACTTGAAAAATGAATTTGTCTTCCCGTGTTCTCCTGCGCTAGCCCTCATCCCCCCCGTCTCTAACTGTGTACCGTGGGAATCTCACCGATAAGAGCCTCGAAGCAGTTGGCCATGGCGTGTCGCAGGTCCGACTCCCGGCACAGATCGGGTCCGTGTGCGTAGAGCATGAAGCGATCTAACTCCAGTTTCTGTAAAACACAAAACACATTCATATCAGTGCCGCTGCCACCGACACCTCGGTAATAGCCTCTTGAAAAAGTAATAGCATTTGTTTTTGTTTTTTTGGGTGTTGCACATTTTCATAGGCTCTTCATGGAAAAACAAAGGGGAGGGGAGGAGGGGGGGGAGGAGGGGGGGGATGGCGGGGGGAACTGGGGCTCCAAAACAAAAAAAAAAACTCAGGGGAAATGAAAAAGATTGCCTGCCCTTGCTGGAAAAGGTTCTACTTCACGGCACTGACAGATGTGCCCATGTGTCGTCCAGCTGTGGCATGATGCACTAAGCCGACACAGGAGGAAACGCACGTGCACGCTAAATAACACAGGCACAAACACACACACATGGAGAGGCGCACGCACACATGCACGCGAGATAATCCCAAGATAAATAGTGTAATCGTGCAGTGGTGACCTTGATTCTGACTGTAACGAGGTGAAATCTTTCTCTGCTGAACTTATTACCGTACCAGTGGAATGAAATGTTTTTTTAAATTTATATTAATGATCAAAAAATAGAAACTAATACATGACTGCTACACACATATGTAAAGCAGAGCGGGAGGCTTTAACATCTAACCTCACTGATGATGAAGAGGATGTATCCCATGACCTTTGTGTCTCTGTGATATAACTTGACCTTTTGTGTGACCCCTGTTTTATTACATGCTCGCATTTAACATTCATTCAGATGTATAAAAATGCACAGTTGATTAATGGAAACAAGCTCAATCATTATCATGCTGCACAGTATTGTATTTAACATAATAATACCTAGTGAAACTACTAATGTCTATGGAAAGTGGTTTTGCAAACTTTTAACCCCGCACATGGAGGATTTAATACGGTTGTCTTTTTTTTTTTTAAAGTTGTCTTATTCTTATGTCTTCTTATTTTCTCCTCACATCACTTACTTAACTGTGCAATTTCTCAATGACATCATGAAATTATCTGCTAAGTTTATTTTTTTTAATTTTATTGTGAAATGCTACTTCCCGTATCAAGAAGATTCTTGCTCAGGGTTTTTCCTGACAAACATTTTCTGATTAGTCCAGCAACAAATCGCTGATGCAGAGCCGTAAAGCCCATCAAGGCAATTCAGGTTTGTCACAGCGAGTGCCAGAACTTCTACAAATACGTTTTACCCGTTAGAAAAAGGTCAGTAGAAAGTTTTCTGACCTGTACCTATCTCAGTCTAAAGGTTCCCTCACTGTAGGCAATCCGTACCATGGTACACTTCCTTGGGAATGGCACAGATGGAAGAGGTGTGCTTTGGCACGGTACAGCACAAGTACGCGTAGGCCTACACAATGTGGACACGACTTATAAACCATCCCAGCCTTCCATTATCGACCAATCCCAGAGAGTTCTGGCTGAATAAATCTGTCCAAAATGACTCAAAATAAACCACAAAGTCAATAAAGTTGCAAATCAATATCCTCTGTGTCCCCCATCCCATTTCTTTTTTGAGTCTGCCTGTCTTGTAAACTTAAACACGCTTCTTGATCAAGTAAAATCATGCATGTGTTGTATTTTGCTTTAAGTACAAGAGGTAACCGTGCTCAGGCCCGATTACTCCTGGAGCAGTGTGAGTGCAGGCCAGTGACGGGATGGTGGGGGCAATCGTGCTTTATCACAGTATGGGGCAACTTTGCCAAGTGTGAGTACGCCCTAAGTTGCCATACAATCTAAAGCCTAAACCATGTATTCCTCTTCAACTCTAACTTCTATATCGGCCCTCAAGAATGTCATGTATGACCCATGTTTATTAGTCTGACATTAGCGCCACCTGGCCAGACTGTGGCCAGCTAATAGGGCTCAACAGTGTCCCATTCATTTTCTCCATAGCTGATTTGACTATAATCTAACAGGTAAGGTTCATTTTGGGACTTGTTCTATAAAGTTTACAGCTTGCTGCTGTTGCCAGGCATTGCTCTGAATAAAATGGTACAGCTTGATAACACAGAGAATAAAACGTGTTATGTCATAAAAAACATGTGAGATGTTCAGTCTTATTATAGCAATAATTTGAGCTTGAAACTACTTAAAGTGCTGATTTAAAATCTTTGAAAGAATGATAATTAAGACAAATCTTCAGTTTACATTTTGAGTGTTGTGGTGTGTGGGATTGTGGGTCAGCAGAAACTTTTTCTGCAACTATTTTCTCTGAAGCAAGTCAAAAGTAGTTCAACTCCACTTCTCTGGAAGTGCACCACAAACGAACACCCGGCAAAAAACAGTCAGGGTGCTATTTAATTACGGCTGAAAACTGTTGGTGGTATCCCACCCCCCGCGATTGCACACACACAAATTAAATCAACAATTCATAAATACTCCAACTCAGAGGGAAACCCGTTCTGACTTTTAAGCCTTTTCGAGTGAAGTGGTGGATTGTTGCCGTTCGCTCGCTCAAGATATTTTTTTATTTTTTTTTTGAAAGATAATTGCGAGTGTTCTTGAGCAGGCGGCTTTAGAAGAGCCTGGTAAACAAGTTGGCATCGTCGAACAGTGTATCACACTCACTTTACCGCGAGCGGCAAATTGAAACAAGCCAAACTGCTACACAGCACTAATGCAGATTCAGGCCGCTGCATCTTTGTATTCAGCGGGGAGCGACATGAAAGATTGAAGTTTTTAATTGCTTTCTCCACATCACAGGACGATTATTGTTGTGTTCTTTTACAAACGTGCCAGGGAGTGAGGCTTGGCTGTACGATGCCGCCAGCAGGAGAGACGGAGAGAAGGGGGGTAACAGAGGGGGGTTTGGGGGCTAGAGATAACAGGGACTGGAGAGTGTTTCAGGAAGACCTATAGGGGCCCACAGGGACCCAAGCCGCACTAGTCTAGCCATCCAAAACAACAACCTTTTAACTCCAATTACAAACCTGAGGGGGCAAAAAAAAAAAAAAGCAGTAAGGATGACAGAAAGATAAAATTACCGTTTTCCCAAGTGTCCCCTTAGAAAGAAGTACGGTCATAACGAAGAGACAGAAAACAATAACACTGTCTCTTAACATGTTCACCTGTCAGCTCGCACACCTTTCACTGCTCTGACCTGCAGGAGGAGGAGGATGAGGAGGAGGAGGAGGAGGAGGAGGAGGAGGTTGAGCTTACCTTGGCTAGCATGGCTAAGTGCTGGTTCTGTACGATGGCTGTTCTGTAGGTGGCCAGGCCGCCCTCCTCTAAACTGGGGAACAGGTAGTACAGGTGGACACTGCGGACAAGAAGAAGGAGGAAAACAGATTAGAGCTACTGAAGAAGAAGTCACTGGATCCTCATGCAAAACACTCCAAATGTCCTTAAATTCGAGTCACACAATAAGAAGAGTGTTGAAAAATAACAGGAAGAGAATATGACCACACTGTGAAAAGTGAAATCATGGACATTTCTAAAGTATATTTTCCTTGTACTGTATGCACACACATTTGTTTAAGTATTGCTGCATTAGTACTAAAATATACAACTCCAGAAAGAACTCAAGGGACTCAAGTAAACATGTCTTTCTCTGGTTCTACTCTTTATAAGTTTGTGTTTGAAGAAAATTTACATTTTTAGTTTAATTCTGTACAACATGTCTCAAAGTCCCAAATACAATATGCTTAAGGTTTTTTTATTCGCAGAAACGGATAACTGGTTAAGATGACAAAAAGATTACAGTATTTTTCAGACCCTGTAGAACACAGCATAGAAAGGTTAATGATCACTTTTAAACAACAGATTCAGGTTTTAATTTAAAGGGCTCAGAAATCCATATTTTGTGAAATAACCTTGATTTGTGATTTTTGATAAACTACTGAAGACACAAGACTTCACCAACTATCAAGGTGCATGAAGAGGTCAAAAAGCTCCAGCAACACTTTTAGTCTGAAGATCGACTTTATTAACAAATCACACCGACGTGTTTCAGCTTGTGGACTTCATCAGGGTGAACTTCAACAGACATTGGAAACAAATGTTTGCCGTGAATGTTAAAGATGTTGATTTAAGGAATATTGTGGTCTCTCCAAAGCATGATCCAAAGGCAGCTGGACTTGGTTGAAGATCTTGAAGATGTTTTAACTTTCCTCTGAAAGTCTACTTCGATTCTAAACTAACTGGTGGAAGGAGCCAGAAATTGAAGCCAAGGATGACTCACATGCAAGTCTTCAGCTGAGTCGTTGACCTGCCCGGTCGTCTGTCGCTGTCAGACCATGAAGTGGATGACTGAGAACCTTCACAGACAACAAGTGGCCTACTCATTTTCTCTGGAGCTGTGTAGCCGTTGTTTAAGACACTACTGTTAGCAGTTGGTAAATTAAAGCACGTTTTCCTCATGTTGAGTAAATAATTCATAAATCCTCTCTTTATATCTGACCAAAATACTCATTTTCAGTCAGAAAACTTGTGTTCTTTGAGATTAAATATGGGGGGTTAAATCTGTGGGCGCTGATGGCCTAGAGGTGAAGTCACGCCCCATGTACAGAGTCCGTGAAGCAGGCGGTCCGGGTTCGAGTGTCACCTGCAGCTTCTTTTCTTGCATGTCATTCCACACTCTCTCTTCCGATTTCCTACTCGACATTATTCTATCAGAAATATAAAAAAGCTAAAAAATAAAAAAAACCTCGGGGTGCTGGTGGCGCAATGGTCAGTGCATGTATGGAGGCTGTAGTCTTCCAAGCGGACGGCCCAGGTTCGAATCCAGCTCTGTGGCTCCTTTCCCGCATGTCATTCCTCTCTCTCTCTCTCCCTGATTTCCGACTCTATCCTCTGTCCCATCTCTCCATTAAAGGCACAAAAAGCCCAAAAATACATCTTTAAAAATAAAATAAAATAAAACCATTTTTTAAAATTGATAACTAAATGTTCCTGTGTTGTTAGCAGATCAATTTGGATTTCCTCTATTTTATATTTTTGTATTTTCTTATTGAGTTATACCATTTTATATCTCCACAAAGGTTCTCTTCCAACATAGAAACATGAGAATGTGAAAGCAGGAACATTGAGTGTCCAACCGTTGCAAAGTGATTGGTTTTTCCAATGCCTACTTCTGCATCTACCAGATTTTCCAAGTCCATATAATTAATTTCCCGGAGCTTTCTAACCCTCTCCAGGTCTGTGTTGGAACCCAGAAATGGCCGCAGACGCTTCAGCGGTTCCACAGCTGGGTTCCGGGCGAGCAGGTTCCATTTTCATTACGGTCCAGCGTCTCACCAACCGCGGCGTATCATTTGATTCCATTTGAATTAAAACAGGCCATTTAATTCAGTCAATTCTAATCAATGCAAAGAGAGGAAAGCAGGTGGCGTTATGTTTTTTTCCAAACTCACCAGAGGTCTATTTGTCAGGCTATTGTGATCTTAGTGTGGAAACAGAGCACTTGGAATTAATAAAAACCACTTAGCGTAATGAAAAATAATTAGACAGGAGACACTCACTTTTCCTGGCCAAGTGTCAGTCACAGAGACGAGCTAACAAAGCGTTATCCAGGTTAAAAAACTAAACATTATGGGTTTACTTCGGGTTATTAAATCGACATGATGAAGCTGATTCATAAAGATGATTGTTCTACATGAAGTATCGACCCTGCAGTATATCACAGAGTCAAGTCAATGTAAAACATAAAGTGAGAATCTTTCCTGCTAGTAACTGAGGTTCATCTATGATCCATTTCTGTTGGGATTTTTTTTCTCTCATGTTCTGCAGCGGCCATAATTTAGTGGAAAAAACTCCCCAGTGATATTTACTTCCTCTGATTTATTCCTAAAGGGGAAACACCTTATTTCTAATCCAGGGCCTTTTATTTGACACATTTTTGGAAAAGTAAATTAAACAAGATACTAGTAGACTTAGCAAGTCCTGTTTGCCTTTTTGGTAAAAATGACTGTTTTGCTGATGGAGTTTGGTTCCTTTAAAGAGAGAATATTATGGATGTTTCTGGCTTAGCATTATGAAAAGGTCTGTCTCTGCAGGGATCCTTTTTGCAGTGTTCTTTGACACCTTATATAAAAAAAATCTCAACCTTAATGTGCAATTTTAAGTAGATGTGGAAACCATTCAGCTCATTTTAAAGCAGCTGAGTCGAGAAATATTAAATGTATTTGTTTAGTATTTAGATCCTAAAACTGTAAAATAAAGAAAGGTTGAAAACAGTACCATTCCCTTTCAATAACATACCTAACAAGTTACCTTTCAAGTCTTTGATAATTAAAAACATTAACCTCAATAACTACCTCTAATGAGGAAAGTTGCTTCCAAAGTACAAAAAATATTGCAAGTGGACTTTTTTTCTTACATCATCTGCTGACCCTTCTAAAAAAAAAAAAAAGAACCCTCTGTTTAACACTAACCCCCGGCGTTTGGGCTTTTTTTAAATGTGCAAAATATTCTGTTGGCTGGACAGCGGAGGCACAGATAGCCTCCAAGGGCAGTGCGCGCTGGAGGTGCACAAGGCAGTTGGCTGGATCTGCTGTTACCCATTTAACTGGACAAGAGGCTGATAAATAATTCAGAGGGCCAGAGTGTAGGCCAAGCATGTCTCGTCAGACGCTAACAATCAAAGAAGGAAGGCAGAGGAAGAAAGGTGGGGGGGGGGGAAAACATGCCCAGAGATATCTGAGGAAACAGAGGCTAACCGCCTTCTTTGTAACAATG